AAACAAGATCAGAATGGCATAGAGTCCTTTAAGGCCAGATATGTAGCGAAGGGTTACAGCCAGGTAAAGGGTATAGATTGTCAAGAAACTTTCGCCCCAACAGCCAGTATTACTTCAATTAGGGTCTTAATGCAGTTAGCAGTAAAACATGATCTTGTTGTCCACCAGATGGACGTTAAAACTGCATATCTGCATGCCCCCATTACTCAAGAGTTATACATAGACCAGCCACAAGGGTTTGAAGAGGTTTCAGAGAGTGGTGAGAGGTTAGTATATAGGCTAAAGAAATCGCTATATGGTCTAAAACAATCAGGTAGAAATTGGAACATATTGTTACACGAGCATTTAGCAAATGACGGTTTTTTCAGAAACCATGCTGATCACTGTGTATATAAGAAACAAGTTGATGATAAAATTGTTATCGTCATTGTTTGGGTTGATGACCTAATCATAGCTTCAGATAGTATGCAGTTAATGGAAGAATTTAAAGAAAGTATGAAGACACAATTTAAGATGAAAGATCTAGGTAGAATCACTTTCTTCCTTGGAATGTATTTTAAGCAAAGCAAGGGTGAAATAAAAATTAATCAGAAAAGATTCATTCTTAAAATACTAGAGAGATTTGGAATGATAGACTGCAAGCCCAGGTTAACCCCATGTGAGCAACGATTAGAATTTAACTGTGGTGAATTGACCAACGCCAGACAGTATAGAGAAATGATAGGAAGCCTAATTTATGCCATGACCTGTACAAGGCCTGATTTAAGTTGGATTGTAAGCAGACTGTCTCAAACTCTGTCAAACCCCAGAACGGGAGATTTAATTGCTGCCAAACATGTCCTAAGGTATCTAAAGGGTACCGTGGATTATGAACTCTGCTTTAACAAATCTGATGCTGACTTACAGCTCACTGCTTATAGTGATTCAGATTGGGCCTCTTGCCTGGAAGACAGGCGAAGTACTACAGGTTACTGTTGTACTCTAACTGAAGGAGGACCACTGATTTCATGGAAGTCGAGAAAGCAACCAATGGTTGCCATTTCCACTTGCGAAGCTGAATATGTAGCTTTAGCAAATACAGCTCAAGAGTGTTTGTATCTAACTCAATTGTTAAACGGTATGTATAAGAAAGTACATCAGAGTATGAAGGTAAGTGTTGATAACCAAGGGGCAATTGCACTAAGTAAGAACCCAGGTAACAGACAACGTTCTAAGCATATTGACATAAAGTACCACTTTGTACGTGAAATGTATGTTAAAGGCATGATCGATATTGTATATTGTCCTACCCAAGATATGGTAGCTGCTATCCTAACAAAGCCACCCACAAAATGTAAACTAGATAATTTTAAAAGTATCGTGTTCGGTTGTGGTAATTAGTTTATATTCTGATAACAAGTGAGGGTGTTGAGTTCAATATAAAACTGTATGTTATCCAAATATTAGTATGACGTAATACTGAGAGACAAATGCATGATGGGATTGTTGTGTTGTTAGTTGAACTTCCTCGTGAAAGTAACTTACTGTACAAAACTACATTTGTAATAAACGTGAAAATAAAGAGTGATTTCATTACAAATACGGTGTTCTAAAGTCATGGCTTCAACACTTATGTAAGTCGCGTCTTATTTTGTTCCGTATAAATGGCCCTATTGATAATCAGATGATCAAACTGATTATCAATTTCCCATTTGTAATACAAAATGACTGAAAAACGGTAAACTTCGCAAGGCTATATTATCCACATTTTACAACATTTCGCAACGAAACTTCGGAATATTACTAATGTTGTGATGCTCTTTCAAGCTGTGATGAAATTTTTGTCCAGGCTAGTCTAGATCAAAATTTCACTTAAAAGGGGAAAGGTCTATTGAAACATGACATTCCATCATCAACGCAAGACTCCTCTTCATCAACACTAATGTAAAGGCTAAAGTGGGTTCTACAGGAGTAGCGGCCCAAAGACCATGACAAAGCAGGCTTTCAGGAATGCTGGATCATGTACAATATTCAAATTCTACTTCATGATGAGATCCTGCAATTAGAATAAATTGAAGGCTTTATATTATTAAGTACTATTCAACCATTGAGCATCAGAGTGTACACTCCTGGATGAGTAAAATTGTTTGGCATTAGACAGAGTAAAATAATATAATCGGGTGCAGCGCAACTTAATGGGTAACAAATAATTTTTGTTCGTGTAAAATCCAGTAATAACTAATTTACAATACAAAATATATGCTGTTGTTGTCTGGCAAAGAGGGTGGTTTAGGCTTTAAGGCTTGTTGTGGTTTAAACGAAAGATATTCTAGAATTAAAATTGTCTTGTGTCAGATAGGCTAGTCAGTAAATTGGTGACTCAATGAGTATTGTGCAGTATATTTTATTAATACATATATTGCAATGTTTTTCACGTTACTCTGAGTGTATATCCACACCGGGCAGGCCAATCTCGTAATGAGATTGCGGGCAGGCTGAAAAGTTAGCCTGACCACGGTAGTAATCGAACCCGCGACCTTTGGGATACTAGTCCAATGCTTTGCCAACTGAGCTACGAGGCCAAGTCTGTTCGAGTGTGTGGTATTTCGGAACTAAGTCTTCGATACCAATGTGTTCTATAATGTTTTTTGTGTGTTTTGATGTTATGTACTCAGGTGAATATGTTTTTGACGTTACTCTGACTAGTATCCCAAGGTCGCGGGTCCCTCACTCCCACCGTGGTCAGGCTAACTTTTCAGCCTGCACGGTGTGGATATACACTCAGAGTAACATCAAAAACATCGTATTCGCCTGAGTACATAACATCAAAACGCACAAAAAATATAATAGAATTGCAAATTAAATAGAAACTCCAATTTCGCCTGTTAGATGCGACGCTGGAGCGATACAAGAACGGCAGTGATTCAAACGGCGTACAAAATATAATGTTGGGAGAATCCTTCCACAGTGAAATTCAAAACAAATAAGTCAATTTTTAATTAAATTAAAAGATTGCTGATTAAAAATTGAGTTAGGTTTGGCACACGAGTGAAGCGGCATATGAATCAAAGTCGCATAATGCGATGGGCTCTGCCAAATTTTGCCACTCCAATTTTTCCGGAGTACTCCGAACAGTAAATGGAGAAGCCTATTGGATTTAAAAGAAAATGGCAATATAAATTTTTATTTCCTCATTTGAAAGAACTTTTGAAACTATACATTAACTTGTTTTATCGATTTTTCATATCTGGCTTAAAGGCCGTTTTCCACTAGGCGGAATTTTCCGCGCGGAGCGGAATTTTTCTTTGTCTTGTGATTTCTCGAGTGGAACTAATTAGAAAAGACAAAGAAAAATTCCGCTCCGCGCGGAAAATTCCGCCTAGTGGAAAACGGCCTTAAGGCCTGATTCCACGAGGCGGAATTTTTCGACCGAAACGAAATTTCTCTTTGTCTTTTTACAATTAGTTCTGCTCGAGAGCTCATGAAACAAAGAGAAATTTCGATTCGGTCGAAAAATTTCGCTTAGTGGAAAACCGCCTCCAGTTCTTGAAATATTTTCACTTGAAGTAATGAGATGTCCGCCATCTTGGATAAATTTTTGATCTCATTAACGGTAATTTTGGTGACGTCACAACAGGGATTAACAATATAAAAGTATTCGTTGCTGACCAAATATTGATTGATAACTGTTTTAAAGGTTTTGAGTGATCTTGATATGGCGAAGGGCAGACAGGGTATAGTTTTGAGTATAGTTTTCTACAGGGTGTATAAAAAAAACGCAACCTCAGAATTTCCCAAGAAATCGACATTGTTTTAAGGACAAAAGATATTAGGTGCCTGGGAATTCAAAATAGCACAACTGTCAAAATTACTGCACACGCGAGTGCGTAAAGCAAAATTTATGCATTTGTTTAATGAGTTTTTATTTTACAAGTACAGTACAACAACAGTAATATTATCTATTAGCAACTCGATTTCAATTCCCAAGGGGCCTAAAATCTTTTATGCTTAAGAATTGCAAAGTGGATTTCTTAGGAAATTCCGAGGTTGCGTTTTTTTTTATACAGTACACGTGACATGCATATGTACAAACTCAAAAGATGGCGGACATTTCCCTTTAACTAACTTCACATGCACAAAAACAAGGCTCTATGACCAAAATAACGTAAACGTACGACGTCTGAAACGGGCCTAAAAGTATTTCAGAAAAACTCTTACAAAAAAGGTTTGCTAAGAAAACTTAATTTAAATACAACATTTACCCCAATGTATTTTCATTGATGTTTGTTAATCTACCCGACTATACACCCTTTTCATAAATAGCTGTCGATTAAAAATTATTTTATGTGCATATAAATTGGCCCAACTAGCCTCGTTTCTGAGTAGAAATTCCTTTGAAATCTTAACATGAGTACGAGGCTAGTTGGGCCAATTTATATGCACATAAAAGAATTTTTAATCGGCAGCCATTTATGAAAAGGGTGTATACAGACGCTGCATTCACAAAGTGCAGTACGTGTTCTGTTATGTTTAATCAGTTACCACTTCGTGTATAACCATGTGATCTTGAAGTTTACTCAGAACTCCAAATCCAAGGCCACAAAAAGAACAGATAAATCCAATATCGGATGGTTCAGCGGACTCGATCTCTTGGCACATATCACATTTATATGATGCGCGAGCACCATGATCCTTTGCTGCATGTGGGACTGCCTTTAACTTTTTCACGTCTTGTGCTTTACAGATTTTTTTGCCACAGGCCCTACACAAAATTGGATCATCGTCTTGGTGTCTCATTATGTGCTGACTTAGATTTCCCTCGTTAGCAAATTTCGCTTCACAAACTTCGCACTCATAGGGTTGATTTCCCTCATTATGTCTCTTTTTATGTCTTCTTAAGGTAACTTCATTCAAAAACCTTTTCTCGCAAACATCGCATTGATGGGGTTTAAGTCCACATTGTCGTTTTTTATGTTTAGATAAATTGCCTGATGATGCAAATTTGATTTTGCAAACATCGCATTCATGAGTTTTTTCGCCAGTATGTGTTCTTCTATGCCTTGACAAATCACCAGAATAGTTAAATTTTTTCATACAAACATCACACTGATAACGCGTTTCTCCATTGTGCGCTCTTTTGTGTTGTGCTAAACCCAAAGCTGCTGTAAATCTCTTGTTACAAATATCACATTCATAAGGTTTTTCGCCGGTATGTGTTCTTTCGTGTCTTTTTAACTCGCTTGCTACGCAAAAACTCTTTTTACAAACGAGACACCTGTGAGGTTTTTCTTCAAGATGTGTTATTTTGTGTCTTGCTAGCTGACCTGGAACGCCAAATTTCATATTGCAAATATCACATTGAAGAGGTTTTTCACCAGTATGGCTTCTTTTATGTAGCAGTAAGATGTGGGAACGCGTAAATCGCTTCTTACAAACATCACATTCAAAACGTTTGTCGCCAGTATGACTTGCTTTATCCTGCAACACATTGGAGCCATGTAGTTTTTCTCCAGTATGTGTTCGTTTATGAGCCGCCAGTCGTCCTGAAGAAAATTTAGGTTTACATCAGGTTTGCCTGTGTTTTATTTTTAATTGTGTCTACCCTCCCTCCCCCATGCTGTTGCTGTGCTAAGGTTAAACCAGGCTGATCAGTTTTGGCAATCTGGTTTGTCCAGATTGAAGTGTCTGGTACAGTGGTCTGGCATTACACAGAGAACATCGCATACAAAGATCGATTGCTGACCCTAAACTTACTGTAAGGGATTTGACGTTTTCCTATTAATTGAATAAATTTCAAGAACCATGACTCATAGATGGATTTTCAGATTTTGGTCTTATTTATTTCAAAATCGTACTTAGTTCAAATCCGTCTTTCAATTACACTACTGTCATTTAATCCAACGAGCACTTAACGTTCTGGGGGGGGGGCATAGGGTGTGGTGGAAAAACTTTCTGGGGGGGGGGTGTGCCATATATTTTTGGGGTGCACACCCCCAAAAAAATCTAACTAACTACCACTATGGCAAGGTATTTGATTGTGATTTAATCTGCCCACACCGCCACTTTTAGAAAAAAATTTCATAAAAAAATTAACGATTCAGTAATTTTTTTCCAAAATTCATGTTCAAATGGCATCTTGTGTAATAGAAATGCTTCAAACATGGAACAGGAAATTAGTTGGTTTTCACACTAATCTACTCAACCTAGTTGCTTTGTCAAAGCCATCAGACAACGCTATTGTGTTTGCTGAAAACATTTATCTGCATTAAGCTAATACTTACTCAAATTTCTAATATATTAATCAACATTGTCCCCAATATTATTGCAACTGATTTTTATCAAACCGAGGCAGGGGTGAAATTATTTTGGTAAAATGTTTCCTCAATTTAGTAATTTTGAACACAAAGTTTAGTAATAATCCCTTTAAAAAGCTGGTCACATTGCTGAGGGAGAGTGGAAGGGGGGCCGAGGTCTGTTGCCCAAACATTTTCTGCATTATCCATATCTTAAAAATGAGTGATTCACTAATTAATATTTCTCTTCTGAAAATTGTTGGCGAGTAGGGGGGAGCATCACATTGTTTTTTTTCCGCACATTAGCTTTCTGATATTATTTGAGGGTAAATGGTAATGTGCCGTCAAATTCATATTTTGCTGACTACAAAAACAATGTGCCCACTGGGATACACCAATTTGCCAACTAACACAAGACTAAGGGGAATACATCACACGAAACATGGAAGTATATATTTATCGTTCGGCTTGTATGTACACCTATGGTTGGGGTTATTTCTCACCAAAACGGTACTTTACAAGCCTGCTGTATTTGCAGGCTGGACAGCAACATAATTAAGAATTATTGGATGAGGCTGAGCAGGATATCAGAATTATTGAACTGAGGCAGATAACAATGACAGAGGTCTGAAGACTTCTGATATCCTGCGTAAGCCGAATTCAATAATTCTTTTATTATTCAGAATCTTAAAATTTTCAGAATCTTTGTCTTGAAATATTTTTTCAATTTGCTCAGTCGAAACTAAAGCAAAACGAGCACAAGCAATTGTCAAAACAAAATAATTTTACAAAATTTCCCACTCTTTTCCAATTCATGCAAAATACCACTGCAAAAATATGCGGGCACCTACAGATACAGTATTTATTTGTCATGTTCACATGCAGATACGAGATTTACTTTTATAAAATAACATGTATATAACACATGCTCTGATTGGTCGAAATCAGGTCATCCAAACATGGAAATTTAAAGTGCCTTTGTGGGAATTTTAAACTTTGATGTCATTTTATAATATACAATTACTTTATGATTTCCGTGTTTGGATGGCCTGATCCAAACACTTGGGAATGTTGCAAGAGTTAAGGTGGCTCCCTACAGTTTTGATTGTAAAGCACACTCAATTGTTTCAAAAAACCATTATTTTCTCATCTTGCAAAGTATAATCACGAAACTCGGCCAAATAACTGCTACAATATCGCGGATTACGAAAAATAAAAAATGTCGTTAAAAATCCCCGTTGCCATGGTAACAAAGCGATTTTAAAAAGAGCCAATTTGCAGATTCTTTGATAATTTTTTGAAAATTTCTTCGGTAAAACTTTTTAATTTTTTGCACACAGTAATTTTATCTATAATTCCTTCAAATGATAGCATTTAAAAAAAATCGGACGAGAATTATTTTTTTAATCCTCAAAAAGCCCTGTTTTTGGAATAAAATAATATAAATACGATTTTCTTAGAACTTGCAAATTTTACGCACTTCAAGATTACAGGAAAGTGTGTGAAGTTTTAAAAAATTTTACCGAAGGAAACACGAGAAAAATACATTTATTTTTATCTATGTGACGTCACAAAAATCAGGATTTCAATTTCCTCGCGCGACCAGCCGACAATCCCACGAAGGCCCGCGCGTGTATATCACGACGCAACTTTAAAAAAACCGCCACGCGTGCAAGTGTGCAACGTCGACCACGTCATAGAGTAAAGATATACCACGTATGTTACGTGTAGCACTACTAATCTCGCGCGTGGACAAAATTTCCGCGAAACAGACCTAAAACTGTAGGGAGCCACCTTAAGAAAAGCACACGTGTTTGGATCAGGCCATCCAAACACGGAAACCATATGTATAGTCATGTTCATGTCTGCACTGAGAAACAAAAAATTATCTGTAGGCTTTCAAGCAATAAAAATACGAGAAAATAGTACGATGAGAGTGTTAGATAAGGGTTATGACCAACTTTTATAATCAAACATACCTATAATTTGCTCAAACAGTTTTGTGGGTCTTACATGAAGTACTTACCGACATACTGGTCCCAAAACTCTAATACACACGTAAAAACGCTCAGGTTGATGCAATACTGATGAAAACAGGATTGAACTATGTTTTGCTGCCCACATTGTTCATAGCTGTCAACAATATTGAACAATATTGTTATACCCTATTCAGGCTCAACAATGTTCAATATTGTTGACAAGTGTGAACAACGTGGGCAGCAAAACATTGTTCAGTCCTGTTGAGCAACGGGCTCGGCGTTTTTTGCCATGTACTCTAACATCAAACATCAGGCCTGGTCAAACCACGGGTCAAACATGCAAAAAAATAGCAAGTCGTAGCTTTTCTCACATCGCCATATTTGGCCGGCCGGGGTATTACCTTTTCCAAATCCAGGGCTGTAAATACTCGTTACAATTGTAACACGTCACTGTGTACTCGTTACATTTCAAGTAATTTTAACCTGTAATTAATTATGTTTTTAGAAATGTAATGAAAAACGTAATTAATTACAAAAGTAAGGAACGTGTTCCTTTTAACTACGGGAACCACTGAGTATTTTAAATAAAATATAAAACAACGAATATTATTAAAATGTTTATTTTCGGAGTTACCGTTGTTTTATATTTCGTGTTCCTTTTCCAAGGAGCAAGTTGAAAATTCCTTTTCTTATTTTGTTAAAAGTAAGAAATAAAAAATATGTTACGACAAAAATTCAGAAAAATGAAATAATTTTCAACGAGATCACATGACATGATAACCTACATGAAGTACTATTTATTGTGAAAGTGGAAACCACAATTTGTTCCGAGGCTCAGAGCGCCAAATATTGGCAAATAAAATTTTAAGTTTACATGCTTCTATTTGCATGTAAAATGTTTTAATATATTGAAATATCATCTTGATAAATTCTTGCAAATTTCATAGTTTATACCATTTTTATTTACAACTGTTGTTTAATTAGATATTATAATATATATAGTAACAATTTGTCAGTAAAGGAATTTGTAATTAATTCCTTTTTTCCGCAGTAATTTTTCCATTGTACTTAATTACATTTTAGAATAAGTAATTGTAATCAGGAATTTATTACATTTTAAAGCAAGTAATTGGAATTGGAATTAATTCCTTTTTCAGTGGTAATTTTGCAGCCCTGTCCAAATCTGAGAATTGTAGTAATCTTGAGAAGACGCAGTGAATTGTATATAAATTACAACATAATCATTATATTAAGTCAAATACTTGAAAAAAATGTTTTCAGATGACAGATCACTTTGTGAGAAAGGCTAATGCACCTATCAATGTTAAGCCCCAGAGGGGGGGGTCGGGTATAGGTGGGGCATTTGATTTTTTGAGCAAATTTTCAATCAAATGCCCCACTGTCGGGCAATAAATATTGGTCAAATGCCCCACCATTTTGCAATAAATACTATGTTAATAAAAGTCATTTGGTTCAAATTGCTCCAACTCAGGGCCAAAATGCTAATCAAAATCCCCAGGGTGGGGATGCAATTGATGATCAAATACCCCACATATGCCCAACCCCCCCCCCCCCTGGGGGTTAACATTGATAGGTGCATAATTGGTATTGTATTTGTAACTTGAATTTTGGCGGGAAATGTAGGTCATAGAAATCCATGCACTGCACTGGTTTATAGACTTTATAGTTTTAAATGGAACATAAAACTACCAAAACTACCTGGTCCTGCAAACTTCTTGTCGCAAACATCACATTCGTAACGTTTTTCTTCCGTGTGTGTCCTTTTATGGTTTTTCAACAGCTTTGTTTCTCGAAATCTCTTCTTGCAAATATCACATCCATACGGTTTCAAGGCTTCCACGTCTATGCCAAGTGCTTTCGACGATTTCATATAAATTTTCATTGATTTCGCCATCTTATAGATAATTTGTGTCGTTAATTCACGGCGAGATATGTACCACTTTTGGCTTACACTTACCACTTGATATAAATCAATAAATTATAGAACAATACTAGGATTTTATAGGAACGAAGAGATTCAATCATTCAAGAGACTCGACTGGAAGAGAACAGGGAACGCCTTACGATTCTAGGGTATGAAATGGCGGGCGTTGCGGGTTTTTCAATATTTCACAGTTATCGAGTGCGAGCAATGCCAACCTCGTTCCCAGGCTCTTTGCTCTTGGGAAGGAGCAATGCGAGCCTTTCCCCGCACCCGCCGCCCTAACCGTACGTCCCAAAGGCAATCTCGTTCCCAGATTATACAAGCAAACTCTGGGAACGAGATTGTCCCAAGGGGGGGGGGGGGTCTAGGAGACACAGATCCACGATCGAGAAATTTGCGCAACCTGGATACCCAGGGGTTTTCCACGTTTTCCACTTTCCAGCGTCTCTCCGAAACCCGCTGTGGCGGTTTCTGGGGAAGGGGTGTAGCGAAAGTGAAAACCCTGAGTAGCAGGTTGATTTACGTGGTGTTTCCACAAACAAAAAGTTTTATACTATCGCAAGGAAAAAGCTGCCGATATGTACATGCAGGATGTACTACAACCAAAAAGTGTCTTTTTCACTGTATTTTTCTATATCAATTACCTCGTACAATTGTATCTCACATCTCACCTTATGAAAATAGGTACGCTGTAACGTACATGGCGTCTACTGGATCAAAAACAAAGAATGCTAAATGTGAATAAAATACACGGAATGATCAATTTTATTAGAATCAAGATAGGCTATAACGTCACACAAATATACACTTTAATTTACAGTAGCTTCCATAGCAAATCTCGTGCGTCAATCAGTCCTTAAATGTTAGTGTATTAATTATATTAATTTTGTGTTTCAGCGTTCCGGTGACATGATTGGATGGACGTGATGAAATGTTGCAGCCATTTTCTCTTTGGGCAGATGGCAAATGCCTCTTGTTTCGAGAGGAAGGTAAGTTCTCCTCCCACTTTGTGGACGGCTGCAAGTTGTGAGTTGCCAGTTGCAGACCTCTCAACTCTCACGCATTCGGCGTGAGACGCTCTCACGCCACGTTCAGTAAATCTCACGCATATAGCAGTTTCATAGTATTTTTTTTAATAATATAGCTCTCACGCCACGTTCAGTAAATCTCACGCATATAGCAGTTTCATAGTATTTTTTTGAATAATATAATATTGTATTCTTTAATAAATGCACATTATTAATCATTATACGGATCGCGAGTCGAATATACAATCGCGTGTTCTTGTTCCTGCATACATGGCCCGACAATTTGCCCGCAATTTGGATACAAAATAGTACGCATATGTAAATATGGCGGACAAAAGGCAGAATCAGTCCGAGCAGAATTCTATATGTAAATTATCAAAGGTAAATTAAAGCTGATTACTGTATGTCACAGAAATACAGTTATTGTAACTAAAGTGCCTTGTCTTAAAGGACGTTATGAAGCAATGTATTTCATTAAAAAAACACCAACTTTCATAATGTACGAAATGCCATTTCAGACCCCCGGTCGGGCGGACGTTTACAAAGGTGCATGTCATCCACATCTCCAATCTCACTTTTAACTTCTCTGCAAAGTTGAAAGGTCTGCAGTTGAAGACGATGGTAACTGTTCTTTGTTGATATTCGTTGAGCAAATCATAATCCTGTTTTGTTATAGATTTATTATGCATTTTCATATTTCCGTGTTTTTCAGCATGCATGCTTCGATAAGCATTGCATTTATATAAACGATTTGCGCAGGAATCGTGCTTTAGAATATAATGGTGTAAAATATCAGGAACATTCCCTTTCTTTACCGTACATTGTGGGCAAATAGCAATGCCGTCGAAACACCATTCCTGTTTTGTACTGGGCAAACAAAATGGGCATTTCAATCCATGACTGCTGGACCGCACATGTCTTTGAAGATGATTAACATAAACACAACATTGTGGAGAAAAATACAGGAATCAAAAATGGAAGTTTTTGATATACTTGATATATACTTTAAAAATTTCGATACATGCGTTGCCCTGAGATAGTCTTCTTAGAAACAGGGCAAGTGAGGAATGGATGTGAGAAATATTTGCTACTGTCTTGGTTTTGCCAACTGTTTACTAATTCCACATGTTCAGAATGTGATACTCGCTTCAAACCATTCTGAGCTGAAAAGTATAAAACAAAAAGAACACAATTTATATTGTGCGTTTTACATGTGAGTAGAACCCAATTTCACATTGACGATTTTATAAATGCGTGTATATGTCGGGCTAACAAAGGTAGAATGAGGAAATTCTATTCACCCAAAGTCCAAAGGAGGTGGATACTGACAGTACAAGGTTGATAATGACAGTCAGTGAAACAAATAATAAGAATTTGTTTCGAGACATTGCTTTTATTGTTTCACATTTTCAAAGCTCAAGACGTCGGCAGTCACATGGTATAAAGGTGAATATAGGCAACGTTATCATCGTTACAAGAGTACAGTGCTTTTGGGAAAATCTTTACTATGATATGGGTTGACCAATACAAACAAAATTTAACTGTTGATGCATGAGCCAAGGGAATTATCAATAAATTGCACAACAAAAAACCTCTATTGGATTAGGGGTTGTCATAAGTAAATAAAATTTTGTTGAATAAGCAACCTAATTACAACACTTAAAACAAAATCGAAACCTTTCAAGTTCAACCAGCATATAATTAGTAACGTTTTGTTCAAAAGATGAATGATGATCATTTATTCAATTTTACATTTACAGAATTTCTTTATGACATTTGAAGTGCAGGGGCCGGTTGTATGAAAACGTAATTAGCGCTAACTGTATTTAGCGTTAATCACTGGAGTGTCCCTATATGTCGTGTGTCGCGTGTCGTGGGTTAAAAGTCGTGTGTCGTGGGTAAAGTCGTGGGTAAAGTCGTGGGTCATAAAATGTGCTAAAAACGCATTTTTTCACGAAGATATTATTTTTATTTTTAATATTTTTTTCGTACTTTTTCCATTTATGCATTAGATAAATACAGGAAAATTTAACGCAACAAATCTCCAGTAATAAAATAATTTCTTATCTTGCTGTTATCTATAGTATAACAAGTAAATGTTTGATTTTGTTCCCGTTTCGTATAGTCTAATAAGCCTATAGAATATAAGTTGATGATAAAATGTCTTAATTAGTTATAGGATATAGGTTTATCAGTTAGCTTTGGAAGTGTTATAGTCCCTATCATGAACGTCGCGAATAACTATGTCGATTGCATATGTCTGATACAAACATATTGTCTATTGAGCTATAAATTTTACGCTGCAGTGCCTGTATAATTAGTGGCCAACGCTCGAGCCTCAAATTTTGCTGTTTTATCTCCCAGACCTAGTATATGTTCGTGGCCCTTAAAGGTCGACAAACATTTCATGTGTGATGTGTATGTGGCGTTCGGAAATATTCCATAAATTGCTACGATTTGGGATTTCCCGATTGAAAACCGAAATGATTTGTGCGATGTCGGGCTAATTGCCAACCGAGCGCGCTAGCCGCTGTTATTTCGACAGAATATGATACCTCTACACTTTTCAACCGTAATTTTCAGCGCGCATTGTAATCATATGATATCGTTTAATTTAGCTTCAAAAATTTGATAAAAAAACATGTTATTCGTGTTGGTTCCCGCGGAGCGCAATGGTGTCATAGTTGCCAGAGGCAGACCACATGCAAAGCCGCCTCGGTATAAATCATGTATGTAACGGGAAATCTTGCTTATTTCAGTCTAATAAAGTCAACCTTTTTTCTTTGATATTAATGTACGCAACATGCTGCGCATTTTACATTTAACAAAATAAGTTTTTGAAGCTAAATTAAACGATATGTACATGATTACAATCCGCGCATTATTGATTACGGCTGAAAAGTGTAGAGGTATCATATTCTGTCAAAATAACAGCGGCTAGCGCGCACGGTTGGCAAATAGCCCGACATGGCGACATCGCACAAATCATTTCGCTTTCAATCGCGAAATCCCAAATCGTAGCAATTTATGGAATATTTCCGAACGCCACATACACATGAAATGTTTGTCTACTTTTAAAGGGCCACGAACATATACTAGGTCTAGGAGATAAAAATAGCAAAATTTGAGGCTCGAGCGTTGGCCACTTATACAGCGTAGAGTTTATAGAGCAATATGTTTGCATCAGACATATGCAATCGACATAGTTATTCGCGACGTTCATGATAGCGACTATAACACTTCCAAAGCTAATAAACCTATATCCTAATATCCTATAACGTAGGACATTTTATCATCAAACGATACATTTATAGACTTTATTATAAGACTATACGAAACGGAAACATTTATACTTGTTATACTATAGATAACAGCAAGATAAGAAATTGTTTTATTACTGGAGATTTGTTGCGTTAAATTTTCCTGTATTTATCTAGCGCATAAAAGGAAAAAGTACGAAAAAAAGATTAAAAATAAAAATATGAAAAAATGCGTTTTTAGCACATTTTATGACCCACGACTTTACCCACGACTTTACCCACGACACACGACTTTTAACCCACGACACACGACA